CAGTACATACAGTACATACACACAGTACATACAGTACATACAGTGCACACAGTACATACAGTACATACAGTGCATACAGTACATACACACAGTACATACAGTACATACACACAGTACATACAGTACATACAGTGCACACAGTACACACACACAGAGACACACAGAGACACAGAGAGACACACACAGAGACACACACAGTACACACACAGTACACACAGTACACACAATACATACAGTACACACACAGAGACACACACAGAGACACACACAGAGACACACACAGAGACACACACAGAGACACACACAGAGACACACACAGTACACACACAGAGACACACACAGAGACACACACAGTGACACACACACAGAGTACACACACACACAGTACACACACACACAGTACACACACACACAGTACTCACACACACAGTACTCACACACAGTACTCACACACACAGTACACACACACAGTACACACACACACAGTACTCACACACACAGTGACACACACACACAGTACACACACAGTACACACAGTACACACAGTGACACACACACACACAGTACTCACACACAGTACTCACACACACACAGTACTCACACACACAGTACACACACACACAGTACTCACACACAGTACACACACACACAGTACACACACAGTACACACAGTACACACAGTGACACACACACACACAGTACTCACACACACAGTACTCACACACACAGTACTCACACACACAGTACACACACACACAGTACTCACACACACAGTACTCACACACACAGTACACACACACACAGTACTCACACACACAGTACACACACACACAGTACTCACACACACAGTACACACACACACAGTACACACACACACAGTACACACACACAGTACACACACACACAGTACTCACACACACAGTACTCACACACACAGTACTCACACACACAGTACACACACACACAGTACACACACACACAGTACACACACACAGTACACACACAGTGTACACACACACAGTACACACAGTACACACAGTACTCACACACACAGTACTCACACACACAGTACTCACACACACAGTACTCACACACACAGTACTCACACACACAGTACACACACACAGTACTCACACACAGTACACACACAGTCACACAGTAACACACACACACAGTACACACACACACAGTACTCACACACACAGTACTCACACACAGTACTCACACACACAGTACACACACACACAGTACTCACACACCAGTACACACACACACAGTACACACACACACAGTACAGTACACACAGTACAGTACACACAGTACAGTACACACAGAGACACACACAGTACACACACACAACAGTACACCCACACAGTACTCCACACACAGTACTCACACACAGTACTCACACACAGTACTCACACACACAGTACACACACACACAGTACTCACACAACCAGTACACACACACACAGTACTCACACCACAGTACACACACACACAGTACTCAACACACACAGTACTCACACACACAGTACACACCACACAGTACTCACACACACAGTACACACACACACAGTACACACACACACAGTACTCACACACACAGTACACACACACACAGTACACACACCACACAGTACTCACACACACAGTACTCACACACACAGTACTCACACACACAGTACTCACACACACAGTACACACACACACAGTACTCACACACACAGTACACACACACACAGTACTCACACACACAGTACTCACACACACAGTACACACACACACAGTACTCACACACACAGTACACACACACACAGTACTCACACACACAATACAGTACACACAGTACAGTACACACAGTACAGTACACACAGAGACACACACAGTACACACACAGTACAGTACAGTACACACAGTACAGTACACACAGTACAGTACACACAGTACAGTACACACAGTACAGTACACACAGTACAGTACACACAGTACAGTACACACAGTACAGTACACACAGTACGTGACTCACGCTCTTGGCTTTCTCCAGGTAGCGTTTGTAGCGCTCACACACACACAGTACACACACAGTACACACACAGTACACACACAGTACACACACAGTACACACACAGTACACACACAGTACACACACACAGTACACACACACACAGTACAGTACACACAGTACACACACAGTACACACAGTACACACAGTGACACACACACAGTACAGTACACACAGTACAGTACACAGTACAGTACACACAGTACAGTACACACACAGTACGTGACTCACGCTCTTGGCTTTCTCCAGGTAGCGTTTGTAGCGCTCCTCCATAATCCTCATGTCCTCATCCTTCTTCTTGAAGCTCTCCTCCAGATCCTCCACACGCTCCCCTAGAGAGACACGGGGACAGAGAGACACACGGGGACAGAGAGAGACACGGAGAGAGAGAGAGACACGGGGACAGAGAGAGACACGGAGAGAGAGAGAGACACGGGGACAGAGAGAGACACGGGGAGAGAGACACGGTGAGACACGGGGAGAGAGACACAGAGACATGTCCTCATCCTTCTTCTTGAAGCTCTCCTCCAGATCCTCCACACGCTCCCCTAGAGAGACACGGGGACAGAGAGAGACACGGGGACAGAGAGAGACACGGAGAGAGAGAGAGACACGGGGACAGAGAGAGACACGGGGAGAGAGACACGGTGAGACACGGGGAGAGAGACACAGAGACATGTCCTCATCCTTCTTCTTGAAGCTCTCCTCCAGATCCTCCACACGCTCCCCTAGAGAGACACGGGGACAGAGAGAGACACGGGGACAGAGAGAGACACGGAGAGAGAGAGAGACACGGGGACAGAGAGAGACACGGGGAGAGAGACACGGTGAGACACGGGGAGAGAGACACGGGGACATGTCCTCATCCTTCTTCTTGAAGCTCTCCTCCAGATCCTCCACACGCTCCCCTAGAGAGACACGGGGACAGAGAGAGACACGGGGACAGAGAGAGACACGGAGAGAGAGAGAGACACGGGGACAGAGAGAGACACGGGGAGAGAGACACGGTGAGACACGGGGAGAGAGACACGGGGACATGTCCTCATCCTTCTTCTTGAAGCTCTCCTCCAGATCCTCCACACGCTCCCCTAGAGAGACACGGGGACAGAGAGAGACACGGGGACAGAGAGAGACACGGAGAGAGAGAGAGACACGGGGACAGAGAGAGACACGGGGAGAGAGACACGGTGAGACACGGGGAGAGAGACACAGAGACATGTCCTCATCCTTCTTCTTGAAGCTCTCCTCCAGATCCTCCACACGCTCCCCTAGAGAGACACGGGGACAGAGAGAGACACGGGGACAGAGAGAGACACGGAGAGAGAGAGAGACACGGGGACAGAGAGAGACACGGGGAGAGAGACACGGTGAGACACGGGGAGAGAGACACGGGGACATGTCCTCATCCTTCTTCTTGAAGCTCTCCTCCAGATCCTCCACACGCTCCCCTAGAGAGACACGGGGACAGAGAGACACACGGGGACAGAGAGAGACACGGGGACAGAGACACGGAGACACGGTGAGAGAGACACAGAGACATGTCCTCATCCTTCTTCTTAAAGCTCTCTTCCAGATCCTCCACACGCTCCCCTAGAGAGACACGGGGACAGAGACACGGTGAGACACGGAGAGAGAGACACGGGGAGAGAGACACGGAGACACAGAGACATGTCCTCATCCTTCTTCTTGAAGCTCTCCTCCAGATCCTCCACACGCTCCCCTAGAGAGACACGGGGACAGAGACACGGTGAGACACGGAGAGAGAGACACGGGGAGAGAGACACGGAGACACAGAGACATGTCCTCATCCTTCTTCTTAAAGCTCTCCTCCAGATCCTCCACACGCTCCCCTAGAGAGACACGGGGACAGAGAGAGACACGGTGAGAGACACGGGGACACGGAGACACGGAGACACGGGGAGAGAGACACGGGGAGAGAGACACGGGGAGAGAGAGACACGGGGAGAGAGACACGGGGAGAAAGACACGGGGAGAGACACGGGGAGAGAGACACGGGGAGAGAGAGAGACGGGGACAGAGAGAGACACGGGGAGAGAGAGAGACACGGTGAGAGACACGGGGACACGGAGACACGGAGACACGGGGAGAGAGACACGGGGAGAGAGACACGGGGACACGGAGACACGGAGACACGGGGAGAGAGACACGGAGACACGGGGACATGTCCTCATCCTTCTTCTTGAAGCTCTCCTCCAGATCCTCCACACGCTCCCCTAGAGAGACACGGGGACACGGAGAGACACGGGGACAGAGAGAGACACGGGGAGAGAGAGAGAGAGAGACACGGTGAGAGACACGGGGACACGGAGACACGGGGAGAGAGACACGGGGAGAGAGACACAGAGACACGGGGGCAGAGACACGGTGAGACACAGGGAGAGAGAGACACGGGGAGAGAGACACGGGGAGAAAGACACAGAGACACGGAAAGAGAGACACGGTGAGAGAGACACGGGGAGAGAGACACGGGGACATGTCCTCATCCTTCTTCTTGAAGCTCTCCTCCAGGTCCTCCACACACTCCCCTAGAGAGACACGGGGACACGGAGACATGGGGAGAGAGAGACACGGAGAGAGAGACACAGAGACACAGGGAGAGAGACACGGAGACACGTCCTCATCCTTCTTCTTGAAGCTCTCCTCCAGGTCCTCCACACGCTCCCCTGCCGGGAGAGACACGGGGACAGAGACACAGAGACACGGTGAGACAGAGACACAGAGACACGGTGAGAGAGAGACAGAGACACGGTGAGAGAGAGACAGAGACACGGGGACAGAGACACAGAGACACGGTGAGACAGAGACACAGAGACACGGTGAGAGAGAGACAGAGACACGGTGAGAGAGAGAGACACGGGGAGAGAGAGAGACACGGGGAGAGAGAGAGACACGGGGAGAGAGAGAGACAGAGACACGGTGAGAGAGAGAGACACGGGGAGAGAGAGAGACACGGGGAGAGAGAGAGACACGGGGAGATAGAGAGACACGGGGAGAGAGACACGGGAGAAAAAGAGACACGGTGAGAGAGAGAGACACGGGAGAGAGAGAGACACGGGGAGAGAGAGAGACACGGGACAGAGAGAGACACAGTGAGAGAGAGAGACACGGGGAGAGAGAGAGACACGGGGAGAGAGAGACACGGGGAGAGAGAGACACGGGGAGAGAGAGAGACACGGGAGAGAGAGAGACAAGGGGTAGAGAGAGACACGGGGAGAGAGAGAGACACGGTGGAGATAGAGAAACCCGGGGAGAGAGAGAGACACGGGGAGAGAGAGAGACACTGGGAGAGAGAGAGACACGGGAGATAGAGAGACACGGGGAGAGAGAGAGACACGGGGGAGAGAGAGAGACACGGTGAGAGAGAGAGACACGGGGAGAGGAGAGAGACACGGGAGAGAGAGAGACAACGGGGACAGAGAGAGACACGGTGAGAGAGAGAGACACGGGGAGAGAGAGAGACACGGGGCGAGAGAGAGACACGGGGAGAGAGAGAGACACGGGGAGAGAGAGAGACACGGGGAGAGAGAGAGACACGGGGAGAGAGAGAGACACGGGGAGAGAGAGAAACACGGGGAGAGAGAGAGACACGGGGAGAGAGAGAGACACGGGGAGATAGAGAGACACGGGGAGAGAGAGAGACACAGAGACACGGTGAGAGAGAGAGACACGGGGAGAGAGACACGGGGACACGGAGACACGGAGACACGGGGAGAGAGACACGGGGAGAGAGACACGGGGGACAGAGAGAGACACGGGAGAGAGACACGGGGAGAGAGACACGGGAGAGAGACACGGAGAGAGAGAGACACGGGGAGAGAGACACGGGGACAGAGAGAGACACGGAGAGAGACACGGGGAGAGAGACACGGGGAGAGAGACACGGGGAGAGAGACACGGGGAGAGAGACACGGGGACAGAGAGAGACACGGAGAGAGAGAGACACGGGGAGAGAGAGACAGAGGACACAGAGACACGGAGAGAGACACGGGGACACGGTGAGAGAGAGAGACACGGTGAGAGAGAGAGACACGGGGAGAGACACGGGGAGAGAGAGAGACACGGGGAGAGAGAGAGACACGGTGAGAGAGAGAGACACGGTGAGAGAGAGAGACCGGGGAGAGAGAGAGACACGGTGAGAGAGAGAGACACGGTGAGAGAGAGAGACACGGGGACACGGAGACACGGGGAGAGAGAGAGACACGGGGAGAGAGAGAGACACGGTGAGAGAGAGAGACACGGGGAGAGAGAGAGACACGGTGAGAGAGAGAGACACGGGGAGAGAGAGAGACACGGTGAGAGAGAGAGACACGGTGAGAGAGAGAGACACGGGGACACGGAGACACGGGGAGAGAGAGAGACACGGGGACACGGAGACACGGGGAGAGAGAGAGACACGGGGAGAGAGAGAGACACGGGGACACGGAGACACGGGGAGAGAGAGAGACACGGGGAGAGAGAGAGACACGGTGAGAGAGAGAGACACGGGGACACGGAGACACGGGGAGAGAGAGAGACATGGGGACACGGAGACACGGGGAGAGAGAGAGACACGGGGAGAGAGAGAGACACGGGGAGAGAGAGAGACACGGGGAGAGAGAGAGACACGGGGAGAGAGAGAGACACGGGGAGAGAGAGAGACACGGGGAGATAGAGAGACACGGGGAGAGAGAGAGACACGGGGAGAGAGAGAGACACGGGGAGAGAGAGAGAGAGAGACACGGTGAGAGACACGGGGAGAGAGAGAGACACGGGGAGAGAGACAGAAAGAGACACGGTGAGAGAACACGGGGAGAGAGAGAGACACGGGGAGAGAGACGAAAGAGACACGGTGAGAGACACGGGGAGAGAGAGAGACACGGGGAGAGAGACAGAAAGAGACACGGTGAGAGACACGGGGAGAGAGAGAGACACGGGGAGAGAGACAGAAAGAGACACGGTGAGAGACACGGGGAGAGAGAGAGACACGGGAGAGAGACAGAAAGAGACCACGGTGAGAGACACGGGGAGAGAGAGAGACACGGGGAGAGAGACAGAAAGAGACACGGTGAGAGACACGGGGAGAGAGAGAGACACGGGGAGAGAGACAGAAAGAGACACGGGGAGAGACACGTGAGACAGAGAGAGACACGGGGACAGAGACACGGAGACACGGGGAGAGAGAGAGACACGGTGAGACACGGGGAGACACGGTGAGAGAGAGAGAGACACGGTGAGAGAGACACGGGGAGAGACAGAGACACGGTGAGACACGGAGAGAGAGACACGGGGAGAGACGGGGAGACACGGTGAGACTTGGGGTGTCTGTGTGTCTGTGTCTCTGTGTGTCTCTGTGTGAGTCTCTGTGTGAGTCTCTGTGTCTCTGTGTGTCTCTGTGTGAGTCTCTGTGTGTGTCTCTGTGTGTCTCTGTGTGAGTCTCTGTGTGAGTCTCTGTGTCTCTGTGTGTCTCTGTGTGAGTCTCTGTGTGTGTCTCTGTGTGAGTCTCTGTGTGTGTCTCTGTGTGAGTCTCTGTGTTTCTGTGTGTCTCTGTGTGTGTCTCTGTGTGTGTCTCTGTGTGTGTCTCTGTGTGTCTCTGTGTGTCTCTGTGTGTCTCTGTGTGAGTCTCTGTGTCTCTGTGTGTCTCTGTGTGTGTCTCTGTGTGTGTCTCTGTGTGTCTCTGTGTGTGTCTCTGTGTGGTGTCTCTGTGTGTGTCTCTGTGTGAGTCTCTGTGTGTGTCTCTGTGTGAGTCTCTGTGTGTGTCTCTGTGTGTGTCTCTGTGTGTGTCTCTGTGTGTCTCTGTGTGAGTCTCTGTGTGTGTCTCTGTGTGAGTCTCTGTGTGAGTCTCTGTGTGTGTCTCTGTGTGTGTCTCTGTGTGTGTCTCGTGTGTGTCTCTGTGTGAGTCTCTGTGTGTGTCTCTGTGTGTGTCTCTGTGTGTGTCTCTGTGTGTCTCTGTGTGAGTCTCTGTGTGTGTCTCTGTGTGTGTCTCTGTGTGTGTCTCTGTGTGTCTGTGTCTCTGTGTGAGTCTCTGTCTGTGTCTCTGTGTGAGTCTCTGTGTGTGTCTCTGTGTGTGTCTCTGTGTGTCTGTGTCTCTGTGTGAGTCTGTGGGGCTCTCTGTGTGAGTCTCTGTGTGTGTCTCTGTGTGTGTCTCTGTGTGTGTCTCTGTGTGAGTCTCTGTATGTGTGTCTCTGTGTGTGTCTCTGTGTGTCTCTGTCTCTGTGTGTCTCTGTGTGTGTCTCTGTGTGAGTCTCTGTGTCTCTGTGTGTCTCTGTGTGAGTCTCTGTGTGTGTCTCTGTGTGAGTCTCTGTGTGTGTCTCTGTGTGAGTCTCTGTGTCTCTGTGTGTCTCTGTGTGTGTCTCTGTGTGTGTCTCTGTGTGTGTCCTCTGTGTGTCTCTGTGTGTCTCTGTGTGTCTCTGTGTGAGTCCTCTGTGTCTCTGTGTGTCTCTGTGTGTGTCTCTGTGTGTGTCTCTGTGTGTCTCTGTGTGTGTCTATGTGTGTGTCTCTGTGTGTGTCTCTGTGTGAGTCTCTGTGTGTGTCTCTGTGTGTCTCTCTGTGTGTCTCTGTGTGAGTCTCTGTGTGTGTCTCTGTGTGTCTGTGTCTCTGTGTGTCTCTGTGTGTGTCTCTGTGTGTGTCTCTGTGTGTGTGTGTCACTGTGTGTGTGTCACTGTGTGTGTCACTGTGTGTGTGTGTGTCACTGTGTGTGTGTGTTGTGTCACTGTGTGTGTCACTGTGTGTGTCACTGTGTGTGTGTCACTGTGTGTGTCACTGTGTGTGTGTGTGTCACTGTGTGTGTGTGTCACTGTGTGTGTGTGTGTCACTGTGTGTGTGTGTGTCACTGTGTGTGTGTGTGTCACTGTGTGTGTCACTGTGTGTGTCACTGTGTGTGTGTGTGTCACTGTGTGTGTGTGTCACTGTGTGTGTGTGTCACTGTGTGTGTGTCACTGTGTGTGTGTCACTGTGTGTGTCACTGTGTGTGTCACTACGTACAGGCTGCTCTGTAGCGAGTCTCCGTGTCACTGAGAGTGTCACTTTTCCTCTGTAGCTCCACCTGCAGCTCACGTAGCTTCTCCCTGTGAGATCAACAACAACAACATCAACAACATCAACATCAACAACAACATCAACAACAACATCAACATCAACAACATCAACAACATCAACAACATCATCAACATCAACAACATCAACAACAACAACATCAACAACAACAGCAACAACATCATCAACATCATCAACAACATCATCAACAACATCAACATCATCAACAACATCAACATCATCATCATCAACATCATCATCAACAACATCATCATCAACATCATCATCATCAACATCATCATCAACATCATCATCATCAACATCATCATCATCATCAACATCATCACCACCACCATCATCACTGTGTGTGTCTCTGTCTCTGTGTGTGGCTCTGTGTGTGTCTGTGTGTGTCTGTGTGTGTCTGTGTGTGTCTCTGTGTGTGTCTCTGTGTGTGTCTGTGTGTGTCTCTGTGTGTGTCTGTGTGTGTGTCTCTGTGTGTCTGTGTGTGTCTCTGTGTGTGTCTCTGTGTGTGTCTGTGTGTGGCTCTGTGTGTGTCTGTGTGTGTCTGTGTGTGTCTGTGTGTGTCTCTGTGTGTGTCTCTGTGTGTGTCTGTGTGTGTCTCTGTGTGTGTCTGTGTGTGTGTCTCTGTGTGTCTGTGTGTGTCTCTGTTTGTGTCTCTGTGTGTGTCTCTGTGTGTGTCTCTTTGTGTGTCTCTGTGTGTGTGTGTGTCTCTGTGTGAGTCTCTGTGTGTCTCTGTGTGTCTCTGTGTGTGTGTCTCTGTGTGTCTCTGTGTGTGTGTCTGTGTGTGTGGCTCTGTGTGTGTCTGTGTGTGTGTCTCTGTGTGTGTCTCTGTGTGTGTCTCTGTGTGTGTCTGTGTGTTGTCTCTGTGTGTGTCTGTCTGTGTCTCTGTGTGTCTGTGTGTGTCTCTGTGTGTGTCTCTGTGTGTGTCTCTGTGTGTGTCTCTGTGTGTGTCTGTGTGTGGGCTCTGTGTGTGGTCTGTGTGTATCTCTGTGTGTGTCTCTGTGTGTGTCTCTGTGTGTGTCTCTGTGTGTGTCTGTGTGTGTGTCTCTGTGTGTCTGTGTGTGTCTCTGTTTGTGTCTCTGTGTGTGTCTCTGTGTGTGTCTCTTTGTGTGTCTCTGTGTGTGTGTGTGTCTCTGTGTGAGTCTCTGTGTGTCTCTGTGTGTCTCTGTGTGTGTGTCTCTGTGTGTCTCTGTGTGTGTGTCTCTGTGTGTGTCTCTGTGTGTGTCTCTGTGTGTGTCTCTGTGTGTGTCTCTGTGTGAGTCTCTGTGTGTCTCTGTGTGTCTCTGTGTGTGTCTCTGTGTGTGTCTCTGTGTGTCTCTGTGTGTCTCTGTGTGTGTCTCTGTGTGTGTGTCTCTGTGTGTGTCTGTGTCTCTCTGTGTCTCTGTGTGTGTCTCTGTGTGTCTCTGTGTGAGTCTCTGTGTGTCTCTGTGTGTGTCTCTGTGTGTGGTCTCTGTGTGTCTCTGTGTGTGTGGCTCTGTGTGTGTCTGTGTGTATCTCTGTGTGTGTCTCTGTGTGTCTGTGTGTGTTGCTCTGTGTGTGTCTGTGTGTGTCTTTGTGTGTGGCTCTGTGTGTCTGTGTGTACTCTGTGTGTGTCTGTGTGTATCTCTGTGTGTGTCTCTGTGTGTGTCTGTGTGTGTGGCTCTGTGTGTGTCTGTGTGTGGGGCTCTGTGTGTGTCTGTGTGTACTCTGTGTGTGTCTCTGTGTGTGTCTCTGTGTGTGGCTCTGTGTGTGTCTGTGTGTGTCTGTGTGTGTCTGTGTGTGTCTCTGTGTGTGTCTCTGTGTGTGTCTCTGTGTGTCTCTGTGTGTGTCTCTGTGTGTGTCTCTGTGTGTCTGTGTGTGTCTCTGTTTGTGTCTCTGTGTGTGTCTCTGTGTGTGTCTCTGTGTGAGTCTCTGTGTGTCTCTGTGTGTCTCTGTGTGTGTCTCTGTGTGTGTCTCTGTGTGTCTCTGTGTGAGTCTCTGTGTGTCTCTGTGTGTCTCTGTGTGTGTCTCTGTGTGTCTCTGTGTGTGTCTGTGTCTGTGTCTCTCTGTGTCTCTGTGTGTGTCTCTGTGTGTCTCTGTGTGAGTCTCTGTGTGTGTCTCTGTGTGTGTCTCTGTGTGAGTCTCTGTGTGTGTCTCTGTGTGTGTCTCTGTGTGTGTCTCTGTGTGTGTCTCTGTGTGTGTCTCTGTGGGTGTGAGACTTACGAATATTCATCCAGCCTCGTTTTAAGGGCGTAGACTGTGGAGACACACACAGAGACACCACAGAGACACACACAGAGACACCACAGTGACACACACACACAGAGACACACAACACAGAGACACACACACAGTGACACACACACACAGAGACACACACAGAGACACACACAGAGACACACACAGTGACACACACACACAGAGAGACACACACACAGAGACACACACACAGTGGACACACACAGAGACACTCACAGAGACACACACAGTGACACACACAGTGACACACACACACAGTGACACACACACAGAGACACACACACACACAGAGACACACACACAGTGACACACACACACAGAGACACACACAGAGACACACACAGTGACACACACAGAGACACTCACAGTGACACACACAGAGACACACACAGTGACACACACACACAGAGAGACACACACACAGAGACACACACAGAGACACACACACAGAGACACACACAGAGACACACACAGTGACACACACAGAGACACACACAGAGACACACACACAGAGACACACACAGTTGACACACACACAGTGACACACACACAGTGACACACACACAGTGACACACACAGAGACACACACACAGAGACACACACACAGAGACACACACAGTGACACACACACAGTGACACACGCAGAGACACACACACAGTGACACACACACACAGTGACACACACACACACAGAGGCACACACAGTGACACACACACACAGAGACACACACAGAGACACACACACACAGAGACACACACAGAGAATTTCACCATTGGAACCTCATTTGCCAGTAGCAAAAATATGATCATTGTTTTTATTACCCTTTTATCTGGCAACAAAACTGACACATTTTTTATAAGGAGTCATGTTTGCATAGCCCAGCAAGGGGCACAGGTGGTGCATCAGCCAGTCATCTCGGTCATCTCAGTCAGTCGACCCGTGGCACCTGCAGGGTCTGTCCCGTGACCTCATGCACCTAGCCTGGCACAGCAGTCAACCCATGGCACCTGCTGGGTCTGTCCCGTGACCTCATGCACCTAGCCTGGCACCTGCTGGGTCTGCCCCGTGACCTCCTGTACCTAGCCTGGCACAGCAGTCAACCCATGGCACCTGCTGGGTCTGCCCCGTGACCTCATGCACCTAGCCTGGCACCTGCTGGGTCTGCCCCGTGACCTCATGCACCTAGCCTGGCACAGCAGTCAACCCATGGCACCTGCTGGGTCTGCCCCGTGACCTCATGCACCTAGCCTGGCACAGCAGTCAACCCATGGCACTTGCTGGGTCTGTCACGTGACCTGCTCCTCATGCACCTAGCCTGGCACAGCAGTCAACCCGTGGCACCTGCTGGGTCTGTCACGTGACCTCCTCCTCATGCACCTAGCCTGGCACAGCAGTCAACCCATGGCACCTGCAGGGTCTGTCACGTGACCTCATGCACCTAGCCTGGCACAGCAGTCAAACCATGGCACCTGCTGGGTCTGTCACGTGACCTCCTCCTCATGCACCTAGCCTGGCACAGCAGTCAACCCATGGCTCTGTGTCTGTCTCTGTGTGTGTCTCAGTGTGTGTCTCTGTGTCTCTGTGTGTCTCTGTGTCTCTGTGTGTGTCTCTGTGTCTCTGTGTGTCTCTGTGTCTCTGTGTGTCTCTGTGTCTCTGTGTGTGTCTCAGTGTGTCTGTGTGTGTCTCTGTGTGTGTCTCAGTGTGTGTCTCTGTGTGTGTCTCTGTGTGTCTCTGTGTGTGTCTCTGTGTCTCTGTGTTGTCTCTGTGTGTGTCTCTGTGTGTGTCTCACTGTGTGAGTCTCTGTGTGTGTCTCTGTGTGTCTCTGTGTGTGTCCTCAGTGTGTCTCTGTGTGTGTCTCAGTGGTGTCCTCTGTGTGTCTCTGTGTGTGTCTCAGTGTGTCTGTGTGTGTGTCTCAGTGTGTCTCAGTGTGTCTCTGTGTGTGTCACTGTGTGTGTCTCTGTGTGTGTCTCTGTGTGTGTCTCTGTGTGTGTCTCTGTGTGTGTCTCTGTGTGTGTCTCTGTGTGTGTCTCTGTGTGTCTCTGTGTGTGTCTCTGTGTGTGTCTCTCTGTGTGTCTCTGTGTGTGTCTCTGTGTGTCTCTGTGTCTCTGTGTGTGTCACTGACTGTGTCACTCTGTGAGTCTCCATGCTGAGTGAGTCTCTGCTGAGCCTCCTCCAATTCCACCTCCAACTCCACAATCCGCTGTCTTTGTAGCCCTGCAGACACAGAGACACACACAGAGACACAGAGACACACCAGAGACACACAGAGACACACACGAGACACACACAGAGACACACACAGAGACACACACATAGACACACACAGAGACACACACAGAGACACGCACAGAGACACGCACAGAGACACACACAGAGACACACACAGAGACACACACAGTGACACACACAGAGACACACACAGAGACACACACAGAGACACACACAGAGACACACACAGAGACACAGAGACACACACAGAGACACACACAGAGACACACACAGAGACACACACAGAGACCAGAGACACACACAGAGACACACACACAGAGACACACACAGAGACACACACAGAGACAACACAGAGACACACACAGAGACACACACAGAGACACAGAGACACACACAGAGACATCCACAGAGACACACAGAGACACACACAGAGACACCACACAGAGACACACACATAGACACACACAGAGACACACACAGAGACACAGACACACAGAGACACACACAGTGACACACACAGAGACACACACAGAGACACAGAGACACACACAGAGACACACACAGAGACACACACAGAGACACAGAGACACACACAGAGACACACACAGAGACACACACAGAGACACAGAGACACACACAGAGACACACCACAGACACACACAGAGACACACACAGAGACACACAGAGACACACACAGAGACACCACAGAGACACAGAGACACACCAGAGACACACACAAGACACACACAGAGACACACACATAGGCACACAGAGACACACACAGAGACACGCACAGAGACACGGAGACACACACAGAGACACACACAGAGACACACACAGTGACA